GTCTGTAGTTGATGTTCTGGCTGGAGATATCAGCCCTGATGCAGGTCAGCAGCTCGTTAAACTGACCGCGGTGTTAAACTGGGCTTAGGACAAAAAACAGTCCATCAGCTTGCAGCTTCTAGTGTTGAAACTAATTGAACAAACCGCCTCTAAATCATCTGGTGAGTTAATTGTCTGCTGTGCGCAACGTTCGCTTGCTCTTTAGTAAATAAAGCAAAACCGTTTTATTTGTTTTATCTTTATTTCATCAGACCAGAAAAAAAGCAAGACGCTCCTCCCTCTTCAGACGCACGTCTATTCTCTGTCCCGGTCTGAACGTAGTGCGTCCAACTGGAGGCGTTGGGCGCATTTTTGCAGCTCAAAACGCGTTCGGTGTGAACGTAGCATTAGGTTGATTGGTTTTTGTGTACAGTGCTCTGAGATGACATATTTTGTGACTATATATAAACTAAATTGAGTTTAATTGAATTCTGCATATCATGTCCTGATGCAGCTCAATGATGACAATCAGGACACTAACAAATAACAATCAGTCGTTYGGCTGATGGTCTATATTGGGAACAAACAGCTTTGACTGTCGTTGTTAAACTTGATTAACATGTGAAAGTACTGTTTCCAAGGCTGAGTTACCTGTAACCCCTCAGACTGAAGAAGAGATGAAACGTTTTCAAAARGTTCTGTCTCTTCTCCAAGAGCCTGTTCAGAGGACATATTCAACTTTTTTAGATTCTGCATATCATGTTCTCAATAAATGGGACAGAAACAGGTTTTACTGATGGAATAACTGGTATATTCTGCCACTGAAGGTGATAATATCCATTTACTGTAAATGCCTAATGATGGAATAAAACTACAAACAACTCAGAAAATAATGTAATTCTTTATCTCTCATTATCGTTTGTGATTTGTATGTTTACACTAAAATTGTGTGTGTGTGCGTGTGTGTGTGTGTGTATGCGTGTGTGTGTGTGTAGGGTTAGAGAGGATGTGGTTTCTTTGATATCAGATCCACGTGTTTCTTTGTTGACCAATGGGACAATTGAACTGGTGAATGCTACCCAAGAAGACAGCGGAGTGTACACTTGCTCTGTCAAACACACGGACATCTTCATCACTGCAAACTTGGAAGTCTTCAGTAAGTCAAGCAGAAATTTTGGTGCCAAACAATAAAAAGCTTTTGGCATGGAAAGAAATTTTTTACAGTTATTTTCCTCTAGTTAAAAATGAATGTATACTTTAAAATTCTTTGGAAAAACATTGAATTGTGGAAAACAAATAACCTGTTTGGGGATTACGTAAATAATAAAGTTGGGAATGGAGGCACAGAAGAAAACTGCTGTCCTTTGTTTCTTCTTTCTGTCAGATCGAACTGTGATACTCATGGGCCCCCAGGATGTTCACGTCCTCAGAGGAGGTTCTGCTTTCCTGCACTGTCTTTTCTACAAAGATCCACGACTTCAAGATTACAAGGTTGCATGGAAGAAGGATGGACACACGCTACTAGAATCATCACGAGATGACAAGTAAACTTACACAACACGACAAGAACAATGGGCCTCGTGCAAGTTGTTCTTATTCTTATCGTAAAGTTCTCTTTTGTTCGTATGAAGGGTTCGTACGAATATGTCACGTCAGATTCAACAAACTCTTCTATCTTCAGGAAAAGGGTGTAAATGAGCTGCGTAAACTGAAGAATGTGTATCAGGTGCTTGTGCACGAGGAGAGGAGATTAGCATAATTACCACTGCAAAAACACCATATAAGGCTGTGTTTCCTGCCCCAAATATCAAGAAGTGTCCATTCATAAATGGCATTGTAAAGTAAAAAAGAAGAACTTTATGAGTTCAGGGATTTAAGTCCTGCTCTCAGAGATCCAGAAAAGAAAATCTGTCATTTTTAGCAGCGTCAGCTGTGGAATTAAAGGAGCTGCTGAAGCCGAGGAATGAAATAACCACTGTTAATGTCTCCTGTGGGTCATATACAGTCACAGAAATAAAAATCTAAATCATATTCATCTCTCTCTAGTCCTGCTCCAGTTTTTCTTTGGTCAAATATTTTAATTCAAGTGTAAACAACTGTGTTACATAGTTTTCATTTATTCAGAAAAAGAGCAGTCACGCACCGACACAATTTAGTTTATATCTGAAGAAAATCTTGGAATATGAGAAAATTGGTGAATGCCACAAATTCTCCTAAATCACTCYTACGCACAACTTAAGAACAAATCTGTGCGTATGAACGGTTCTTGCATGAGGCCCACTGTAAGTCACTCAGAGACARAATTCCAGCATCATCTGAAATAAAGCCGACTATTAGAGCAGTGGCATATTTTCAGGTGGCAAATGTGGCAAATTTTATGTCCCAGCAAGGAGGCAAAATTTATTGTTGCAGGAAAAGTTTATCTTTAGGCATAATTTCATGATTTTAGTTTTTGTACCTATGAATCACATATCACATTTTACAAAACAGCACTTAACTGAGCTTTGGTCCTCAACTTAATTTTTTCCATTTAGATTCAGTAAGACTTGGAATAGTTTTTTCTCAAATATTTGTAATCGTTCACATACTTACACAGATGTTAAAAATTTAAAAATCATTTCGTAGGCTCATTTGAATTTGACCATAATCTTACAAAGAATCAATGTACTCATGTACAGTTTATGTGTAATTAGGTGTGCAGAACAATAATAGATTATCCAAAAACTCATAAAACTCTTCGCCACATTCAGGCTTTTGAGCGTCTGTTGATCTTCAGACATTTCATGGTTGGCTTCAAGATAATCTTTTATCAATTAATGTTAAAAAAAACTGTGTGCATGTATTTTTCCTCACCCAGGAGACGTTTCAATATAACAAATCAACTCACTTTTTTAAACAAACCCCTTGATATTGTCACTACCTACAAATATCTTGGAATTACTTTGGATTCTCATTTGACTTATCGTGATCATGTACAAGTCTTAACCTCTAAGTTGAAACAGAAATTATACGTTTATTCAAAAATTGGATCCAATCTGACATCTTCTTCTCTGTGCATTGTTGCCCAAATCAAATTCTGGAAGTGGTAATTCAACTAGATCTGTTACAAAAGGGCAACTGATATTACC